AAATGCAGATAATTTGCTAAAAATAAAATATAACATACATAAAATTGATGTAATTTTGACAAAATGCTAAATTATGACCTATTATTAAAATTATCATTAATTTGTTAAAACTAAAAATTGGACTTTAGGCCAAATTTTTGACTTTTTGCTAAAGTGCAAGTGTGACCTATATGAGAGATGTCTGGGGTCCTGTATTATCTTGAGAATTCTATGTCGACATACAATTTCAATAAAGATAAATTTAGCAAGAGTTAAAGCACTAGTATCAGGTATGGTTTAGGCTTTGGGTCATCGAGTTAGATAATCTGTAGCAACAATAATATATCGATTATTTGAGTTAGTTATGGGTAAGGGTCCTACTAAATCTATTCCAATTCTTTCAAATGCTTGTCCTATTTTAATAGGATGTAATGGTTCTTTTCTTTGAGCTTTGCCTCTACATTGGCATTGCTCACAAGTTCTAACATATTCTTTAATATCTCTATACATTTGGTTCCAATAATAGTGTTCTGCAATTTTATAATATATAGCATCAATCTCTAAGTATCTAGCAGTAGGATGATTATGTATTATATATAAGACAGAGTCTACTTCAGTCCATTTTACAACTCGAAAAGGTTGATCTGGTTTTTTTTTTATTTCTTTTATACAATAGTCTATTTTTAATCTCAAAGTATTTTGCTTGATTCTGGAGTTGGGTTCGTTAGTAAGAGATAAAATCTGATGGTATTGTTCGAGAGTTTAAGTAATTATAAATATTTTGATATCAATCTAAATCTATAGATTTATATAGATATAGGTCAGAGTCTTGACAAAGTATCCATATTCGAGTGAATTTTTCCTGGTTTATGAATTATGACAAAATTATAGGGTTGTAGTTTCAAAATCCATCTTCCAATATGTCCTTTAGGTTTAATAGTTTTAAGCTATTTAAGAGCAAAGTAGTCAGTAACAAGTGTGAATTCAGTAACATCTAGATAACTATGAAAATGCTTTATAGCCCATACTATAGCAGCATATTCTAGTTCTGTAGCAAAATAATTTTGCTCTTTGGGTCTTAGACTTTTACTTGTATAGGCAACAAGATGTTCTTTTTTATCACTATCTATTTGGCTTAATATAGCTCTATATCTATGATAAGAAGCATCAGTAACCAAAATAAAGCATTGTTTAAAGTCAGGATAAGCAAGTATTGGTGCAGTAATAAGCTTTTGTTTAAAAAACTCAAAAGCTTTTTGTTGTTTCGGTCCCCAATAATAGGGTGTATTGTTATATAAAAGTTGGTTCAATGATTGGGCTATAGTAGAGAAGTTCCAGATAAATTGTCAATAGTATTCTACAAGATCTAAAAAGAATCTAAGCTTGGTAATATTGTTAGGAGGTTGTATTTTTTGTACTGTTTCTATTTTTGAGGGGTTAAGAAAAATTTCTTTATAGCTAACAATATGTCCAAGAAAAGGTAGTAATTTCATCCAGAAATTACACTTTTCTAAATTTAACTTTAATCCAGCATCTCTAATGCATTGAAATACAATTCGCAAATGTTTTAAATAATCATTAAATGTCTGTAAAAAGATGTTAGTATCATCAAGATATACAACTACGGATTTCCAAATAAGTTTTTTATAGATTTGATTCATTAAATGTTGGAATGTAGCAGGAGTATTGCACAATCCAAAAGGCATTATATTGAATTTATAAATACTATACTTAGTGATAAAAGCAGTCTTTTCTCTATCTTTAGGATCTATCATAACTTGCCAATTCCACTGGCTAAGTCTAAAGTAGAGAACCATTAAGATCTAGCAAGAGTATTGAGTATTTCTTGTATTCGAGGTAGAGAGTATGTATCTTTCTTGATAATACTATTAAGTTTTCTGTAATCAACACAGAATCTAAGTTTACTATTTTTCTTTCGTACTAGAACAACAGGTGAGATTCACATCAGCAAAATTTATATATAGATATATATCAATTACTAACCAAACAGATATATATCTATATTAATCACCCCTGTCGATTCTAATCGTTTTAGAAAGTAATCGATACCTATTCGGTTTATGGCTATCAATAATAATCGATAGCGATTTGAATCGATAATTATCCGGGTTTATGGCTATCGATAGTAATCGATATCAATTTGAATTAATAAATAACTATATAAAAATCGAACACACGATTAAGATTAACTCTAATTTATTAAAAGTTTCAAAGAAACATATATATTATAAATAATAAATTTAAAAGCAAACTATCAATCAATTCAATATTAATGCAATCTCATTTTTTATTAGCATTGTTATCAAATATAAGCAATACAATTAGAAAATACTAATCAATCTACAATTATCTAATATAAAACTCTATACTGGTATTAAGAGAAAAAAAAAAAAAAAAAAGAACACTCAATCCATCACTATTCATAGACCCCAAACGCTTCATCCATTTTCTCTTCCGAATATTGCATTGAGAAGCTCGATCGTGATAATGGTTCAGGTACATAATCGGTCTGAGAAGAGTTCATTCGTGACCTATGTTCGTTAGCCTCCAGCTCTTTGTTCATTATTGCTTCAGCAGAACCATAAGAGGGACCGCCACTATTGTAATCACTCTACAATATAAAGCCTGTTAATTTTGTGTTGATATAAAGCAATATATGATAAACACTTACCAAAAACTTTTCTACATAATGTTTCATATGTTTTTGACACTTTATAACCAAGGGTTTAGAATTATATCGCATACGGCCAACATAAACACATAGTAATAGTGGGTCAAGATAGGTATAGCAACTATAGAGAAGGCATTCCTTGCGATCAAATCAATCCAGTAGGTGCCACTTTCATTTTGTACAAAAAGTGAGTAAAAGCAATTAGCAACTTCAGCACTTTGCTTCTATCTCACAATCTCAGATACACCAGCGTTACTTTTCAATAAGGGGAGCTTTTCAACTCCAAAAACCTTCCAAATTGAATTTCTAATGTTTTGAAATGCTGCACCCCGGTAATTTTTCATTTTTGCTAGCAACTAGTAAAATAAAATAATGAATGTTATTTTTATAAAAGTATAAATAAAATCAAATGAATATTAAAAAAAAAAAATAATTAAACAATATATATAAGATATTGGTCATGCAATGACTAATATCATGAAATTTGGTTTGTCAGAGCAAAAGGTTGGCTGACATATGCTGCTGCATGGCACATGTCAGCCAACCATTTGCTCTAACAAACCAAATTTCATAATATTAATCGTTGTATGACCAATATCTTATATATAATAAATGTGAGAAATTAACATACTCCACTAAGCCATTCCGTATGAGAGCAGTTTGTGAATTTATTAGCACTAATGTTAAATTCGGCATATTTGTTGTCTAGGTAGTTCTTCAAGGACTTTTTGATTATTTGTTGAACAGATATAAATTTTGCAGAAATAAACAGTTTACTATGTTTGTATATATATTCTATAATTTAAATTGTATAGTTTAGCACTTGCCCACAGCTTATAGTTAAATAAAGCAAAGCCAGAGCCATTTACGTCTAGTACTTGAGGGGAAAGATCATTTTCCTTTTCTTTTCTTTGCTGTTTTAATTCGTCTTTGATCTTTTTTACATCTCGGCGAAGCTCCTTCATTAACAGATACAAGTATCTGTTTTGCTTAAGTATTTCCCGTTTATTACCTGCATTATTAAGTTGACTACTACGGGGGCGATCTCCAATGAAAAAGGAGAGAAAAAAAAAAATTTTTTTTTAAAAAAAAAGTTGTTTCCATTCAAAAGCATTCAAAACAAAAAAAATACATTCAAATCAAAAAACACTTAAAATAGTTACTATTTTGTTTGTATATTTGGTTTTGATTGGTTGATCTCTCACGTGATCGATCTCGTTATGGAGATAGAGATCGATTTCTATTTTCTGAAGAAGAATGGTGAGAATGTCGAGATCGAGATGGCTGTCAAGATTGAGATAGCTGTTGAGATTGAGATAGTTGTCGAGATTGAGATGGTTATTGTCAAGATTGAGATGGTTGTTGAGATTGAGATGGTTGTTGAGATTGAGATGGTTGTTGTTGATTATTTTTTATTCTTGAAAAAATACTATGAACGCTTGCAATAGAATCTGAAGAATCATAATCAAAATAATTATCATCAAGAGTAGGAGGGTTAGTGATATTATCAGAATTAATAGGAGGGTTAGTGATATATGTTAAAATATTAGTATTAGTTGTTTTGGTATTGGATGTTTTAGAAGGCTTAGCAGTATTAGATGTTGTATTAGTAGGTAAGTTGTTCGAGTTGTTTGACATTTTCAAAAATGAAAAAAAATTATTTACCTTCAAATGACAAAAATCCGTATTTTATATATTTGTATATTAATTAAATCTAATGATGGTAATCGTATGTAAAAAAAATTTAATAAAGTTATCGTCATGTAAAAAATGAAAATACTTATTTTCATTTTGTCATTATACTTGTACATGGGATTTATCGCGTGTTATTATAAGGTTTCCGGGCTGAAGATCACTATCGATCTAATTCTGAAACCAAAACATTAAATTTCTTTAAACTTCTAGCGACGATTTCTCAATAACTATTTGATCAAATTTAGTAAACCGTTTTATTTTGATTCCATATATTTGTAAAATTAAAATAAACAAAAGTTTATTGAATCTGATTTAGTGGTTATCAAAAAACCTTTGCTAAAAGTTTTGAAAAAGCTTGAAATATCTTGGAAAAAAAAATCTAAAATTGGCAAAATTTTTCTTTTTGAAATTATAAATGATGATTTCTCAACACCTATCTATCAAAATTCAATGAAATTTTTTTATTTTGATTCTGCAAGTATGAAAGATTAAAAAAAAAAAACTTTTTTTACCGAATTTTAATAGATGTTGAGAAATATTAATTAAAAGCTGAAAAAAAGTTTGGCCGTAGCTTTTTTATTTGAATATCTAAACTTTGTATGAAGATAACTTAGCACTTATCTGATCAAATTCACTCAAGTTTTTTTTATTTTAATTCTATCAGATTATAGAATTAAAATAAGAAATTTGATCAAATAAGATCAGGTAAGCGCTGAGTAATCTTCGTTCAAATTTTAGATATCTGTAAAAAAAAAGCTGTGGCCAAATTTTTTTTTAACTTTTAATCGTTATTTCTCAACATCTGTCTATTTAATTTAGTTAATTTTTTTTATTTTAATCTTGTAAACTTGCAGAATTAAAACAAAAAAAATTCATTGAAATTGGATAGATGGTTGTTGAGCAATTATCAATTAAAGTTTTAATAAATAAATTTATTGCAACTTTCTTAAATTTTTTTACAAATCTTTAAATGATGTTTTCTCAACACCTATATATTCAAATTTAATAAATTTTTATTATTATAATTTTGCAAGTATGTAGGATTAAAATAAAAAAAAATTACCGAAATTGAATAGATAGGTGTTGAGAAATATCGATTAAAAGCTGGAAAAAAATTTGGCTAGGCCAAAATAGTTTAAACTAATTTATATTGATAATGCGATTAATATCGATAGTATTCAATTTAAACCAATTTAAACAATATTCTTCTAAATACTAGACTCTGATATTATCGATATTGCTTTATTACTATCATTTTTCCATTTCTTTATCTTTATTCTCTTTTTTTTTTTTTTTTTTCGGGAATTCTCTTTTTCTCTCAAAATGCGTTGGCAGTGTGAGCATTGCAATAGAGAATTTTCAAAATCACATGCATTAACTCAACATGTTTCACAAAAACATCCTCATCTTCAAAGTTTACCAAATCAGGAAGTCTCTAATGAACAAGTGGATGATGATATTTGGGATCTTCCAGAAGATTATCCTAATTATGATTCTTCAGAATATAAGGTAAATAGTTAATTATCTTTTTATTAATATAGTAAACGATATTAATCGATTGTTTTCATATAAAACGAATATATGGAAAGATCTGAAAGCTCAGTTGAGCATGTGCATTCTTTCATGGAAGCAAAACTTCATCAAATAGATAATATGACTAAAGACGATGCATCTCAAAATATGTCTAATGTGAGTGATATTGAAGACCATGAAGATATATCATTTGCAACTGAGTCATATGAAATAGGCCTTGAAGACTATGAAGGGGCCTCATTTGATGAAGCTTTTCAGAACTTGTATCACCCACAAACTGTCGAATGGCTTAACGATGCATATCGTGAATTTATGAAGATTATTAATAAATATCAGCTGTCAAATTCAGCTGGTGATGCTTTTATAACCTTCTTCAATAAATTCTCGAATTTGGATACTTCACCACTTCCATCATCAACAAAAGCAGGAAAGAAATTTCTTGATGACACTACCATTCCTTATATGATGTTTAAGGAAGTTCCTGTTAAAATGTTTCAAAACGTTGAATATGTATTTTACTATCGATCATTAATAAAGACTATAAAGTCTTTATTAATAATCGATAGTATTAATCAGTCACTGGTTCTTCAATATGAAGATAAAAAAGAAGTAAGGAACATTGTAGAGTGTAAAATCTTTGGGAACAATACCAAAGTAATTGGTAGAAGCGAGAAGAATCAGATTTACTCCTTGGGCAGCATTTGCTATTGCTTATACTTTATTCAGATGCAACAACCCTGACCACATAGGAAAATCTTTTGGGCATCCCATATTTTTATCACTTGGAAACATTTCTAATCACCAAAAAAATAAACCAGAATTAAAAGCATTAATTGGATACCTTCCGATCTTGAAAGCCATGGATTCTAAAACGATAAATTCCGAATGGCCCAAAGAGAAGTCTTCCAGAAATGTTTGTCGACTCTTCTCAAGCCCATTGTCAAAGGGTTTGAGCTTCACTTTGTCGTGCGTGGAAATATAATTACTTTTATTCCACGTATATCTATAATTATTGCGGACATGGTTGAAGCCAATAAGTTTACAAACGTTTATCAACCATCCTCCTCAAGACGGCCATGTACAAAGTGCTTGGTTTCAAGAGATAACTTGAATAATACAAATTTGACAGAAATAATTTCAAGAACTCCAGATGCTATGAAACAAGCGATTAATAGTGGAGAAGATCAGTATTATTCAATTCATCCTGAAAAAAATACATTTTGGGAAATAAAATATAGTCACGGGTTGAATTAATTCATATCGTACACCTAGTGTCTGAAATTGGATTGCGGACCACATACTATTTATAAGTTTCTGCAACTAAAATCTGAAATACATATGCAGTTCCACAAATAAAATTTCTGAATTTGCATATATATCAGCAAAAATATATATGCATAAACTTTAGTAAGTTTTTACGGTGCATAAGAAAATCATAAACTTATGTAAAATTTAGCATAAAACTATGTAAATTTTATGGTGTGTAAGAAAATTGTAAATTTACATAAAAATTTTATATTGGTTTATGATTTTCTTACATACCGTAAAAACTTATGAAAATTTACAGAAGTATATAAAAATTTATAAATTCTAAGATTTAATTTCAAGAAAAATAAACTATTTACGAAACTTTTAAAAATATATAAACTATTTTTTATAACTTCGTGAACTTACGAAAGTTTACAAAAGATTTAAATTTAATAATTTTTTTTTTTAAATAAATCAATAACAGAATAAAAACTTGTAAAGCATTTT